CCCCTGAGGGGGGCCGCTCCCCATTTAGCCTTGCCCTCGAGCTCCTCCAGCAAGTTGATCGTGGCGTTTTCGGTCTCCAACTTGCTGTGCGATATCTCGTCCGTTCAGCGGCTGCTGGCACGTAGATGGTGTCTGCGATGGAGAGCTGGATCCTCGTGTACTTGTCGTTGTAGCACTTCCTGTGCCTGAGGGGCCTGGCCATCAGCTCGAGCTCTTTTTTCGAGGCCACCGACGCAAACTTCTTGTAGGGCGCGCCGACTATCAAAAGCGACTGCGGTTTGTTGGTCTGCAGTGCTATCGTCAGCGTGGACCATGATCCCCCCATCCGTCGTCGTGTAGTCGGGCTCGCGTGCGAGAGCGTATTGCGTCAAGCTGGGAGCGCGCCGATAGGAGAGGAAAGGCTCGATTCCCTTCAAATGGTGAGGAAAGGCCCAAGCTGGGTTAGAATGTCCTGCCAACTCCCCCGTCGTCGGCCTGAGAGCTACAGGTCCCGAGTGAGCTTCGCTCTGGAAGGCCCCCTGTATTGCCAGTATATCCACGATTCTTTCGTTGAAACCCTGCGCCGTCGACGGTCTGACGCCGTCGCCGCCGCCGCGAGTGAACTTCAACCACTGCTCCCCGCCCAAGAGAATCAGCCACAACTCTGAAGAAATTGACCACTGTGGTGTCGCCTTTCGCTTGGGCGAACGTCGTGGTTGAATGGTAATGCCCGTCAGGTCGTCCTGCGCCTGACCCCAGTCCGCAAACTGCATCGCACCGTACTTCTGCTGGTCCGTGTGCGTGGGCTCGTCCCCCTCGTGGGTGTCGTCGAAACGAACACCCATCTCCCGTGTGAGGTCGTATGCCTGGGTGCCCAAAACACCTTCCGTAACTGGCTTCCTCAAATACTGCTTTACATCGTGCGCTTCCCAATTCTCTTCCCTCGCCACGATGTAGCGTCGATGACGAGGCCCCGTCCCTTGCGAGACAAGCGCTTCACCAGGCGCTGCACCGTAACATGATCGTGCAAGTCCCGAAGACGCTGGTGCCCGAGATGTGCCGCTAGTCCCATTTCTTCTGCTGCCAAGATGCCCGCGTCCTGGTCCTTCTCCTGTGTGTGGGGGTCGTAAACCCTCGTGAGCTCCCCCTCGCATCTGTCCTCTGAGGTGTGCCCCTGCCCGTCGTTTAGGTCCACTCCGATGATCGGCGTACCTCTTGCCCCGACGCCCTCCCCCAGAGAGCGGGTCCAAGAAGTCATCTCCTGCACAGTAGACCGATGTCCTGAATCTGCCGCTTGGCGTCTGCATGTCCCAGGGGCAGAAACTGCAATCATTATCCGGAAATCTTCCGATATTTCCATGGCCCTGGTGGGCCCCGTAAAAGACATGAGGTTGTACGTAGCGGGAAGAGCAGCGCCATGCTCTGTCTCGGATATGAGAAAGTAAAAAGCCAGAACGATCACGGCGGGCAGCCACCGTCTTGGCGACGCTGGCGGCGCTACTCTCCTCTCGACAGGGGCAGAGAGGGCCCCAGGCGAGATCAAAAGAAACATTCCACTGCGATTCAATACGATGTACCCCTGAACATGTACAGTAGCCGCGTGTTGGTTGGCCGAAAGGGCTGGAAGAGGAGGAGGAGGAGGAGGAGGAGGAGGAGGAGGAGGAGGAGGAGGAGAGCGCCATCGACAAGGAAAGTGGGGGCCACGAGGTCCGCCGGCTCGAAAACGCCCGCGACGCCCGCGCCCGCCCCCTCACTCTTATCCGCAATTGCGGGGTGCTACATATTCCGGATGGATTTCGCAGTAAAAGGGGGGTGGTCTTATTTTTGCGGGTCTGATTTGAGCTGTCACTGGACAGGCCTGGGAAGGGGCGCCCACGCATGACGAAATACCAGAGCCACGCCTCCCAACCCTTCCGAAAAGAGTCCGTTCGGCGCCGAATGGAATTGCATTCGGCAGATCTCCGCGCAAGCGCCGGATGGGCTCTGATCTGCGTGAGCCCAACGTTTCGGACGCCTGAAATGGGTACGGAAAAATTGGTACAATGCCCAACAACAAATGTTGTCCCAAACCAACAGCGGCCACTGTTGGGCAGGCGGTCTTCTGTCTCAAATGGACACAAGCCGCGGCGGCGCGGACAGAGGAGCAGGAACTGCTGTTGGGCATTGCACCCATTCTTTCCGTATCCATTGCGTTCGCGCAGAGACGTGTAAAAACAAGTGTCCTTTCGCCGGATGGACACCCTTTGCCGGATGGGCTCTGTTTTCTCGCCGAATGGATTTGTTTGAAAGGGAGACAATTAGTAGGGGCCAGATGGGCTCGAATGTCCGCCAGATGGGCTCTCTTCCAGCTGGATGGGCTCTATCCCGCCAGAAGGGTTCTAACTTCGCCGGATGAACTCTTTGAAGTCCGAAGTTAGCTTATGAAATAAACAAAGCAATTCTTATGGTTTGAAAGCCCTCGTGCCAAAAAAACACATGCTGGCGCCTCTCGGACGAACCTGGCGCTCGGCGTTCCCGCGTATTCCTACAAATCTCCTAATGCGCACGGACTGTCCCGTGTGTTTCCTTGTGGTTGGTTTGGTATGCCATTGGTATGCAATGTGGTCATGAAGGTGCTCGTGGGGGGTCCCAAACAAACGTGGAATGAATTCACGTATTTCCCTAAGGATCCGCGAAAGATTCCCAAGGATCCCTAGGGCTTCCCTGGGGATCCCCCCCATCCATCGTTCCCCTGGAGTCCGCTGAGGACCACCAAGGACCCCGAAGGTTCCGTAGGAATAGGATCCCCAAGGATTCCTAAAGTTTCCCTGGGCATCCTTCCAAGAACCCCCAAAGACCCCGAAGGTTTTCTAAGGAATCCGCCCAGGATCCGCAAGGATTCCTGAGGCTTCCCTATAGGAATCCCCTAAAAATCCCCAAGGGTCTTCAGGGGTTCTGGAGAGTGCCGCTCAGAATCCCAAAAGATCCTTGGGGGGGATCCGCTAAGGGATCCCAGGATCCCAAGCTTCCAGAAAGATCCGCTGAGGATCCCCAAATATCCCTAGGATGTCCCTTGGGACCGCTAAAGAACCCGAAGGATCTTTACGGTGTAATTACCTGGGGGGCGCGCTAAAGATCCCGAAAGATCCTAAGGCTATCCTTAGGGAGCAGCGAAACATCCCCACGGATCCCCAAGGTTCCCTCAGGTTCCGCTAAGGACCCCGAAAGATCCGTAGGGCCCCCCCTTGGATCCGCTAGCGATCCTCTCTGATCCCAAAGATTTCCTAGGGAGCAGGGTCCTGAGGATCCGCTGAGGTGGTGGCGTGGCGGGGCGGTGGGGTCGTGGGGTTGCGGGGCAGCGGGGTCTCGGGGCAGTGGCGTGAGGTCGCGGGTTCGCGGGGCGGCGGGGTGACATGGCAGTGATGTGGTGGAAGGTGGGGTCGCGGGGTCGTGAGGGCTTGTGGTCGCGGGATAGGGTCGAGGGATGGCGGGGTGGTAGGGTCGCGTAAGCGCAGGGTGGCATGGGGTCGCGGGGGCATGAGGGCGCGGGGTCGAGGGGTCGAAGGGACGTGCACGCAACGCGAACAAAGGGGCTATCCGCCGAATGGATTCGGATGCCCTGATGATCATTTTGCCAGTCGGATGGGCCATAATGCCGCCGGATGGACTCATAATTGTGCGCTGGATGGACTCGCACGCCCCCGGATGGACTCTATCGGTTCGCGGGATGGACTCTGTTTTGCGCCGGTTGGACTCCTTTGTCGCTGGATGGGCTCTAATCTCGAAGATCCATTCGGCGCCGGATGGACTCCATCGTTCTTTTTGGTCGGCTCGTAGGGACCTCCCACGCCGCGCGCTTGATGGAGTCCATTCGACGCGTTGGATGGACTCCTTTCGGAAGGGCCGGGCTTAGCTTCAATTGGGCTTGATCCCGGACCTAGCGTCGCCCGACAGAAGACCAAGTCCAGTGGAGGCCCACCAGAAGGGATCCCCTCGACTCCACGTGGACCTTCCCCAGCTGGACTTTGCGTCGCCCTGCTTTCCGATCCTGGATCGTTTCTTGAGGGTCCCCGGGCCCGGAGTCGGCCTCCAGAGGAGGACAATAATCCCGAAGGGCCGGCCCGACCGCGATTGCTCGGCCGCGGCGCCCGGATCTGAGGGCACTGCGCGCCACTCGCTGAGGCCTCCGAAGCCCGCGGAGAGCCACAGGGGAGCCGCCGGGAGCCCCAAGGGGGCCAAGATGGCTTCGAGGCTCGAGGGTCGACAGACGATCCTGGAACCTCGAACCTGCTCCTCGTCCTCCTCCTCTTCCTCCTCCTCCTCCTCCTCCTCCTCTTCTTTCTCCTTCTCCTCCTCCTCCTACTCCTCCTCCTCCTCCTCCTCCTCCTCCTCCTCCTCCTCCTCCTCCTCCGTCCTCCTCCTCCTCCTCCTCCTCCCTCCTCCTCCTCCTCCTCCTCCTCCTCCTCCCCTTCCTCCCCCTTCCTCCATCTCCTCCACCTCCTCCTCCTCCTCCTCCTCCGCCTCCACTGCGATCCCTCCCGCCGCGCTGCTCGCAGGGCGGCCGCGTGTATCCGCAGGCTAGGCGCAGTGGCGTCTGGCCCACGCGGGGGCCCGGCTGTCCCAACGGGGTGGGATGAGCGGGGGATGAAACCTCGCACCTCCTCGCGCTCATAGGGGGCAAACAAACCTACCTCGCTTTTGACCACCCTCGCTTCCAAGAGATACCAAACGATGCCAAACTACGGCCTGTACTGGTCAGGCCGCTTGACGAGGAGGCGCGTGGTATGGCTTGGTTTTGCCTGGAAGCGAAAGCGGGGTGGGTAATTCGCGCTCTGACCAGAGGCACTCAACTGCAGCGTGACAGAGGTGGACAAAGGCAGAGAACAAGCAAGGACGGGCAGGAAAGCCAAGTGACGTGTGCCGGCGTGCAGGAAGCAAAGCAAAACTCAAACTCCTCCTCCTCCTCCTTCTCCTCCTCCTCCTCCTCCTCCTCCTCCTCCTCATCCTCCAGTCGAGGCGCTTCCAATGTTTAGACTTTCGGCCTCCGTCCCACCAGCGAGGCTTGGGTCCGGGCGGAAGGTCGCGGTGAAGACGCCCGTGCTCGCGTTCCACGCGGTCCCCCCGAGCGTGCCGGCCACCGCCGGCAGGTAGGGCACTGAGAGCTGTGCCATGACAGCCGGGTCGGGAGCGGTGCTGCTCGAGAAGAGAAGTCGGTCGTCCAGAGAACCGCGCGGATTGCTTGGAGCGCGCCAGGGGCAGCGCCAGAGGCGCCGCCAAGGGGGTGCAACGCCGATCCCCCCTGAGATCCTGGCGTCGCAATCTGACCACACTGGGCGACTTCGACCTACTTCGGGCCCTCTCAAGAATGACGAGATCCTGGCGTCGCAATCTGACCACACTGGGCGACTTCGACCTACTGCGGGCCCTCTCGAGAATGACGCGTGAAGGTGGGGCCTGGGGCCCCCTTCGTCACTTCTGACGATGCTTCAACAAGGGCTCCCAACTTCGCGCTTCGCGCTCCGCGAAGCGCGAAGCGCGAATAACTTCGCGCTCTCGCGCCGCCCCCCCAGAGGGAGAAGAGGAGGACGAGGAGGAGGGGGAGAAGGAACGAGGACCGCGAAGCGCGAAGCGCGAATAACTTCGCGCCCTCGAGGGAGCCCTTGTACTTCGGGCCCTCTCAAGAATGACGCGTGAAGATGGGGCCTGGGGCCCCTTTCGTCACCTCTGACGAGGCTTCAATGTGCTCGCGACGTCGGATCTCAGGGGGGCCCCAGGGCCGACCCACGGAATCCGCGCGGATCTCCGAAGGTCTAACTACAGTGGAGGCCCGTCCACGAGAAACCTTCCACAGGAAACCCAACCCTGAGACCCCAGGACGTCGATGGATTTCTGGTGTGGGAGCGTCACGCTTTCCATCGCAAAAGCATCGAAGCCCAGGAAACCCAGGGCACCCTGGAGGGGCAAGCAGGCAAGCAGGGCGTTTCCTGGCATGGGCTTCCACTGCATGCTCATGCCGAGTTGCCTTCCACGGGTGCTGCCTTCGGACCAGGGCCCGGCCCCGAAGCCCGTCTTGCAGGCCCCCCACGCGGCGCCCTGCGACGAGGAGGCCCTGGAGGCGTCGTCCTTGCGAGGGCGCCAGCTGCCCAGACCTTCCCTCTCGTCGCGAAGAAACCCAGCTGTAAACGCTTCTCGGGGGCGGCCAAGGGGGGGGGGGCGTCCAAGAGGGGGGTGCGGGGGCGCAAATCATGGCCGGCGGGATGTGCGCGGCCCGGGAGGGGGGGCCAGGGACGTAATGGAATGAGAAGAGGCGCCATGACATCTGAGGAGATAGCATGGCCCACGCAATGATGTCCACCACCCCCCAGACATCGCCCCCCTCTTGGCCGCCCCCGAGCCTCACAGTGTTCAGCCTCCATCGGCCCTCACTGGGTCGCGGAACCGCCCGAGAGTGGGTCGGGATGGGCAGCTGGCCCTGGGAAAGGGGGCCAGGCCTTCGAGGGTCCACATTGCAACAGAAAGCTCGGGGCGGCGGAGGTCTGGGTGCACGAGAAAGAGAAAGAGAAAGAGAACGTCCGATCGAGCGTCCAAGGACGTCTCGTCCCGCTTGCGGGAACGGCGTGAATCATGCAGTGCGGGAAAAACCATGCACGGGTGAGAATCAAAAAGACACCCCTCAAGCCTCAAGGGTATTGCTACCCGGCGGTGTGCATGTATGACAAGTACTCAGTCCGAAATTCATCCGAAAACCTGCCGTGCGCATTGCGCAACTCATGCTCCAGACTGGGTGCACGGCCTACGAAGTTGCCAAAACACCGCTGAAGCCGACCCCTGCGATGGCATTGGCGTCCGCTCTGGCCGCTGCCCCCCCTCTCTCAAGCGAGCCCCGAGGGGAGCGGTCGCACGGGCCACTCACGCTCTCCAGCCACAGATCACAGACGCACATACAGACACACGGCGGCCCAGAGAGAGCGGGATGCAGCGACCTCCCCTGGGCCCAAGAGGGAGTCCAAATTGGAAGTGGGCAACCTGAAAACTCAAAGTTCGGAACTCAAAGTTCAGAAGAAGCAGGATGGGGGCCACTGTTAGGTCGGGCATGTCCCCCTACAGGCGGATCGTGGGCGACAAATCAAAGATACTCAAGAAATGCACTTATATAGGCAAAACAAATAACAGAAAAATCGTCCTCTGAGTATTTTGTACTGTTCTTTTATATTCCTCCTGCAGAAGGAAAGCCCGACATTCGGCGGTGGACAAACCTCCCTTTAGTAAACCTCCCTTTAGTGAAAACGGCCTGGGACCGAAACCGACGGACCTGGACCCGCAAAAACGACGGCCGCGACGCCCCCCCGCAAACCGCAAACGGCCAATTCGCTAATCGACGTGTCAGGGTGGGAGGTCTGTCCACCCCCGACCGACAGAAAGCCAGAAAAAAACGACCAACATAAATATTCGGACTATATTCCTCGGACTAAATCGTCCTCGGACTATATTCCTCCTGTAGAGGGACAGGCCCGACATAAAGCCACTGGAATTGTCCGGACGACCACCCTGGCCACTGGACGCTCGAAATGGGTACGGAAAAAATGGGTACAATGCCCAACAACAAATGCTGTCCCAAACCAACAGCGGCCGCTGTTGGGCAGGCGGCCTTCTGTCTTAAATGGACACAAGCCGCGGCGGCGCGGACAGCGAGTCCTGTCAGGGGGACGTAAGACCTGGGTACAGGGGACTCGGACATCCCCGACGAGGTTGTTACAAAAAATGACGAGGCCGAGCCTGCATTTTGACGAGGCCTCCCGCTGCAGACATCCCACGAAACTCCCCCTCGTCAAAATCCGAGGCGCGGTCGTCAAAAAACGATGGCGAACCCGAAAGCCTGGCAAACCCGGGTCTTACGCTCCCCCGATCCTGTTCAAAATGAACAGGATCCGCTGTTGGGCAGTGTACCCATTCTTTCCGTGCCCATTTCTCGGGGATGGACAGAACCCACTTTAGTAAAACGTGGTTTAGTGAAAACGACCTGAGGCCCAAACCTGGCGGGCGCAAGCCTGGAAAATAACGGCCACGGCGCCCTCTCGAGAACCGAAAACGGACAATTCACTAATCGACGTGTCACTGTTGGGGGTTCTGTCCACCCCCGAATTTCGTTCGTGCAGAGACACGGAACAAGGGCGGCTCTTGCGCGGCGGCCGGGCGAGGGACGCAGACCCCCGCGGCCACCGGCATGGCGCTGCGCCAAGGCACCCCAGGGGCGCGAGGGCGTTGACATATGGGATGATGGTAGAGGAAAAAGAACTATGCACATACACCGATTCTGGCCAGGCCCATCCTGAGCCCAGGATCGGTGCATACGCCCTCCTACCTTGGCCAGGAAGGCATATGCACCGATCCTGGGTCAAGGATGGGCCTTGCCAGGATCGGTACATGTGCATAGTTCTCTTCGCCCGATGATGGGCCCACTCTCCGCCACCACTACACGCTGGTCGGAAGAAGTAAAGTGAGAACACGAAGTAGGAAGGCGGATCAAGTGGATTGGCTCCAGACCCTCCCAGAGAATAACACACACACACATCAAGACCATGCAGACTCTTGAAGTAGGAAGGCGCTAGAAGTAGATTGGGATCTGGGAATCTGAAATGACCTACTTTCAACGACCGGCGTGTATACCACCGGTAGGAGAGGGAGGAGGAGGAGGAGGAGGAGGAGGAGGAGGAGGAGGAGGAGGAGGAGGAGTCCTACACGTGGTAGTTGTGGTGGACAAGTCGCCCATCATGGGATGCGGTCCATCGCAGGGCAGCTTGACACGAGGGCAGGTCAGAAGCGGCCCCCGGCCTCCCCAACGCCTCGACTTCCGAGCCGCGCGTCCAGTCGTGGCGCCGAGAGGGGCCCACTCGGAGGCCGCCTGCCGCTGTCTCGGCTCCGCCCTCCTCTGAGATGCGTTCTGGGGCTGGACCTACACGTTGCGTTCCGTTTGGTGTCCGTCTTGTCGTTCGTTTTGCTCCACCTCGTTTCCTGTACCTCCCTCTTCCCGAACGAAGCAGCACACAGCCGAAGTCCAGGAAAACAACGCCTGGGTCAAGCCCTGATGTGTTCGTCGACCGCGAGGTCCTCCCGGCACCAGTCCTTCCACTCCCAGTGGATCCAGGAGTGGCCCGCCGCACCGAGAGCGGGGACCGCGAGGTCGTGCAGCTGCTCGCAGCAGGACTCCGTCATCATGAGACCAGTTCCCAGCCGCGTGGCGTCCTGGCGCCGGGTGCGCAGGTAGGCCTCAAAGTCCCTGCCCTGGGGGGGGACGTAGTAGTGGTACGAGAGGACCGAGCGATTCGCCTCCTGGAGGCCACCCCAAATCGGGCACGAGCAGGTGGGGTCGGAGGATCGCGCAATATCGCTGATGCAACGGCGACGTCGGCGATATCAGGCAGCATCTGCGATGGTGGCGGCGCGCAAAGGGGCAAGGGGGGCACGGGGAGGGGAGAAGGCCTCTCAGAAGGAGGGTGCTGCTCAGAAGGCGCTGGCCCTACATCTACAGACAAGGCCCACACTTTCTAAGCAGCAGGGTGCCTCTGAGAGGCCTTCCCCCCTCCCCCTGATTGCCCCCCCTCTGCGCGTGGCCGAGCTGCACCGGCGACGAGGCTCAACCCTCCGACCCCATCTACTCCGACCCCGTCAGGGAGGCCTGGGCCTCCGTCCTTCAGGGCTACACCTGCGCACCACCGCCATGCCTGGCCAGGGCCAGCCTGGGCCAAGGGCGTCAAGCAACGCGCTCCACGCTGCGCACAGCGCGAATCAGTTCGCGTATCTGGCGCCGCTTCCCGGGGGAAGAGAGGAGGAGGATGAGAAGTTGGCGTCGAACTGCGAAGCGCGAATAACTTCGCGCTCTCGACGGCACCCTTGCTGAGTCCTGGCGTAGTGCATACCAGGGAACGAACGAAAAAACTTCACGACACACACGAACTCTCGCAGGGACGCGCGCCTGCACATTGTCGGCGCTGCAACCCCCTGCCCTGGCGTGCGGAGCGCGCGGGGGGCGGCGCCGAAGGCGCCGCCAGGGGGTCCGGCACGAGGTCTGAAAAGTCCGCGCGGACTTTGGGAACCCTGTGTTTCTGCCGATTGGCCTTCTGACCCTGGGAAATCTGTGTTTCTGCCCATTGGTCTTCTCGGGAATCCCGGCGAGGCCCCCAAGAGGCTCCCAAGAACCCCCCAGGAGGTTCCCAAGGGGCCCCGATACTCCTCAGTCCCCGAGGACCCTGGCCCACGTCAGCGTCGGCGTCGTTGCGGCCGCCGCGCCGCTGTCGTCGTCGTCCCCCATCAGGGTCGGCGACACCGGGCACAAAAAGGCCTTCGCAGTCTGCGCTCCTGCCGACCGGTCTCGTTCGACGTACGGCCTCCTCGCCAAGGACGGGAGCGCCTGCCCTACACCGTCCTTCGCGGCCGGCCAAGAGGGGTGCGTCCGAACAGGGGGGTCGCAGAGCATGGCCCGAGAGCCGCGCGCGGACATGGCGGGGGACCAGTGGACGTGCTGCGAGGAGAAGAGAGGGCCGAGGGACCCGGCGAGATGTCATGGCCTTCGCCATGACTGCGTGGCGGCGTCCCACCCCCTACCCCCCCATCGACCACCGATGCTACCGAGTCGATGGGAGGCAGGAGTAACTGGTGTTCGGTTTTCGCCACGCGTTCGAGTTCGACGACTTCCGAGCCCCGACCCCGCCGCCCCTCGAGTTGCCTGAAACGTTGATCGGCGAGGGTAGTGATCGGATTTCGCCGCAGGATGGGATCCACCTCCGCACTCGTCATCACTCCCCTCTTGGCCTCCTGGGGCCCGCGCTATGTCCAGGCACGGTTGTGCGACGTGCACATCTGCATACTTGCCCTATCCTGAGCCCCGCCAGGTGCCGCGGTGAAGCCAGCGGGGTGGACGTTGTCCCAGGTGACGCCCGCGAAGAACACCAGCGTGGCGTCGTCCACCGCGCGGATGTGCCGCACCACCGCGTCGTAAGCAGGCTGCAGCCGCTCCCGGTCCGCACGACCAGGCTCCAGGAGCAGCGGGTGGGTGAACGGGTCCCCGGCGAAGGGCTCGTTCATGAGCTCGAAGCCCAGGACGTTGTCCAGCCCCTGCTAGAGAAACAAAACAACGGCATAAAGATAAACCTTGGCAGCTCCGCGCGGATTCTCTGCATCGGCGCCGAATGCGCAGCCAGGGAAGCCCATCGCCGAGCCAAGAAGTCCGCGCGGGCCGCCGAAAGCTGTTCTTTATAGTGTTTTGTTTCTCTTCGGCCTTCACGGCGGACGCGGTCTTGGCCCAGAACGCCCCCCAGGCCTCCGTCATGTTGTTCACGTTGAGGAACAGGCTGTCGTACGCATGGCCCGCAGCAATGGTGCCCTGGCCCGTCGCCCATCCGTGGGAGAAGGGGTTCTCGCTGAAAATCTCAGCGCAGTCCTTGGAAGAACAGATGCCGGCCAAGAGCCTAACCTTTCGGACGTCCGCACGGAGTTCTCGGACCGGCGCTGGACTCCTGGCGCGCGCAGCGCGCCAGGGGCGGCGCTGGAGATGCAGCCCGGTCCCGCAGATTCACGAGATGCACGCGGACCTCCGAAAACTTCTATGTCTCTGAATGTTTGTTCTTCTTCGAGGCCTGCCGCGTCGGGAAGCCGTCGGCCCCAGGCTCCACGGGCCTGGCCCACAGCGGGACAGGGAACCGCTCCCAGTGCCTCTTCAGCGGCTCCACGGCCCACGAGGGGATGCCCTCCCCGCAGAAGTGCTCCGAGAGCAGGTCCTGGTGCATGTCCAGCAAGACGTAGACCCCCCGGGAGCCCGCTGTCTTCACGATCTCCCTGACCGAGCTGAAGTACGTCTCGTTGTACTCGCCCCTTGCCTAACAAAAACATACAACCATCCTGCTACCATGACGCGCGAAAAATCAGGAGCACGAAGGGCACTTCACAGCGCGGCGAGCTTCGGCCACGGCCAGGGTCCCCGACCTGGATCTACAGAAGAGCCCGAGAACACTGGAGCCCCTCCCGAGCGCCGAGACGTCCTCATCTCAGCATGTCATCTCGGCACATGCACAATTCGAAGGCCCGCGCGTAGCTCTCGCATCGGCGCTGTACCCCCCTCCACGGTGCGCGGAGCGCGCCAGGGACGGCGCCGAAGGCGCAACCGGGGCCCCCCAGAGCCGATCTCAGAAACACCAGCGGATCTCTGCACGATCCCCTTGCACGCTGATCGTTTCAATGTCCGATCGCCGGCTCGGCCCCCGGCCACATCACCCCGAGGCGGATCAGGTTGATGCCGGCGTCGAGCAAGAAGTCGAAGTCGCGCTGCACCAGCGACGTCAGGGGGTCGAAGTGGTCGAGCCGCGGCAGCCAGGGGGCGCCCTTCACGACCACATTCGTGCCGTGGAACACCCGCTCCCGCCCCTGACGGGAGGCAATAGCGAAGCACACCGAACAGCCTTTGCAAGAACGGCCTGCTAGAGGCAGGCTTGTGAGAGCTGCGAGCACGCACGAGAGCACAAAGGCCAGAGCACGGCCCCGAAACACCTAGCCAAAGCCGGCCGAAGCAAACACCGAACACAGAAAAACGGTGGGCAGGAAGCAGTCCGAGGAGGAGGAGCAGGAGGAGGAGGAGGAGCACGAGGAGGAGAGGGAGCAGGAGCAGGAGGAGGAGGAGGAGGAGGAGCAGGGGGAGGAGCAGGAGAAGGAGGGCAACGTGGCGGCGTCCAAGGGCGGGGCGCCCGAAGAGAGGGGGGCTCGCAGAGCACGGCCCGAGGGACGCACGGGGCCGATGGGAGTCCAGGGGCGCGCGGAGAGAAGATGCGAGGGCCACGAACTCTCGGGAGACATCCTGACCTTAGCGGGCCCTGGAAACGACAGGGTCGTTTGTTTACCGGTTCCGTCTTGCCAGTTTTTGCCTGTTCCGACGCCGGGTTCCGTCGCCGTTTTTTGACCGGTTCCGGTCGCCGTCCACGGGATCCAGTCCTGCAGCCGTTTTTTTGCCGTTTCCGGTCGCCGTGTATTTTTTGCCGTTTCCATTTTCAAGGGACATTTTAGGGAAACGGTGAAAAAACCGCCCTGCCGTTTCTGGGGTCCACAAAGATCCTGGCCCCAGACTTGGAAAACTGCCTCCTCCAAACTGCCTCCAATAGGCCCCACGAGGCCTCACACGAGATCTCAAGCGAGCATCCAATAGGCATCATGACCACAACCCAGGCACGAACATCCAGTAGGCTTCAAGACAGAAACCCAGGAACGGCGGCGGAATTGGCCGAACGCCGCTATATCCGCCGCCCCCTTTTGATTTATCAGAGGGGTGCCTGGTGTGCGGGACGATATGGCTTTTGGTTTTGATCTTTTTCCAGAAGAACTCCCCCCTGGGGCGTCGGCCCGTCCCGCCGGCCACCCGGAAGGGGTGGTTGCAAACGGTTTTCCTGCCCCAGACGGCCCCAAGATGGCCTCCAAGACGGACAAGATGTCTCCAAGACGGCCAAGATGGCCTCCAAGACGGCTCAGATGGCCCCAAGATGCCTCCAAGACGGCCCAAGATGTACCCTATACGGCTTAAGATAGCGTGAAGATGGCCCAAGACGGCCCAAGATGCCCCCAAGAGGCCTCCAAGACGGCCCAAGAGGCCTCCAAGAGGTCCTCCAGGAGGGCCCGAAAAGGGCAAAATCATTGATTAGCCAGGAGAGGTTTTTGAAGGATTTTGGCATTTGCGCCTTTTCGGCTTCCCGACGGCCCCAGACGGACCAAGAGACCCCCAAGATCGCCCCAAGATCGCCCAAGAGGCCTCTAAAATGGCCCCGTGACGGCCCAAGAGGCCTCCAAGACGGCCCCAAGCGGGCCCCAAGACGCCCAAGAGACCTCCAAGACGCCCAAGATGGCCTCCAAGACACCCAAGATGGCCTCCCCAAGACGGCCCTGGAGCATTCCAAGAGGGCCCCAAGTCGGCCCAGGGAGGGCCCCCCAACGGCTCCCGACAGCATCAGACGGGCCAGGAACTCACCAAGACGGACGAAGATGGCCGTAAGATGGCCCAAAAGGCCTCCAAGAGAACCTCCAGGAAGGCCAGAAGAGGCCAAAAACACTGATTCTCCTTAGGTGTTCGAAGGATGTTGACATTTGCTTCTTTTCGGCCTTCCGACGGCCCGAGATAGCCCAAGAGCCCCCACAGATCGCCCAAGAGGTCTCCAGTATGGCCCCAAAACGGCCCAAGAGGCCCCCAAGACGGCCCCAAGAGGCCCCCAAGACAGCCCACGAGGCTCAAGATGGCCTCCAAGACGGCCCTAGAGCACCCCGAGAAAGGCCCAAATCGACCCAGCCTCGCCCACCGTGATCCCCGAACGCTTTCCAAACCGACTCGGGGAACACATGGTCCGATAGCTTGGCAGGCCTCTGGTCACAACATTCGGCCACATAGGCGTTTCCAAAAAGGCCGGGGGCGGCGGTGATTCGGCGTAGGCGTCTTCGATCCGCCGCCCCCTGTCGACTCATCGCAGGGGTGCCGGGCGTGGCGGACGATATGGCTTTTGTTTTTTTCGTTGCTCCTCTTAGCGCTCAGGAGATCTGACTTTCGCAGGGTTGGTCAGTTCACGCTGCCACACACGGAGGCAGCTGCGGCAACCTGAGCTGACGAGCAACAAAACAACTGCTAGGGATAAGTATGGAGAGGGACAAAAAAGCAAGAAGGGGGAAGGAAGAACGAGATGATGAGAGCAAGGAGGTCCGAGAGTCGTTGGAGAAAGAAATGGAGGATACGTCCCCCGCAAAAACACACGCACACGCAGACTGTCCGAGAGAGCGTGCTTGCGGAACCCGCGAACTGCGGGCAATCCTCCACATACACAACAGTATACGCAGACTCGACTCGACTCGCGCCCTGCACAGTCAGACTGGCCCCAGTCAAGGGGAGGGCGGCGTACTACGCGCAGGTAGGCAGGCCCACCCACGGCAGTGCGTGGGCCTGCCTACCTGCGTTCAGAGTTCAGTGCGTGGTGAAACGATCTTCAAATTCAGCCCGAATCTCCGAGTTCCGGGCAATGTTTGTCTTTTTGGGCCGTACGTGTCAGCGAAGCCGTCGGCCCACCTCTTCACAGGACGCCCGGTGCAGGCTCTCTTGCTCTGGGCCGGGCCTGAGCTCCTCAACAGCATCTTGTAAGACCACTCGTGTGCATCACTTGACAGAAAGTTCCCCGCTAGCTTTCACTTTCGAGCTCTGCACTGCGCAATCAAATCGTCCATCTCGGGGCTGGATAGACCTTACTTTAGTAAACCTCCCCTCAGTGACATGTACCGGGGGCCGCCCCTCCGAACGTTGCCCCGTGCCCCCAGCTCGCTCCTCCGACTCTCGCCCCAACAATCTCTAATGGGACTGGGCCGACGTGGACCCGAAGCCGGAGCGCCCTCGCCCGGCGGGCGGCACCAGGCCCGCCAGTCCTGTACGTGTCGAATCACACGCTGGTGGGGAGAGGCCAGTGGCTTCGCTGCACCACCTGCGGCAGGTCGGCCAAGGCCCCAGGCCCGCGTCGTCGCCTCTGGCATTCCCAATGCCAGCCCAAGAGCTCGCTCGCCAGCGGGATAACGAGCGGCAGCTCGTCCACGGCAGCAGCAGCGGCCATGGCAGTAGTGACAACCGCGGTGGGGGCCACTGTCATGGGCCAAGCCAGCGGCGGGCAGGAAGCGCCACACCATGAGATGAAGCACAGGGTGGAGCAGCATCACGGATACTGCGTGTGCGCGGTGTGGAGGGCATTCCAAGGTGTGCGTGCGGCTCCTGGCTCGGGAGTGCTGCGGCCCGCTGGAGCCCCGCGGCAAGAACGAAGGATGACGCGCGTCGCCGGCCACGGGATCGCATACGTGGAGGTTTGCACCCAAAGATGGGCAAGGCCCTGGGGCGCTTAGCCTCTCCCGCCTGCGGGAGCGGAGTGGCGGAGAGATAATAGTCTGGTTCGCGCGCCTCTCCCCTCCACCCTCAGGGCCCTCAGGGGCGTGCGCGTGCCGAGGGGCGGCACGAGCGTGGATTGGCCTCTCGATTCGGTCGGCAAGTCTAGCGAATTACAAAAAAAAACCTCCCCCCCCTCCCCCCATGCATCCAAGTTGGGGAAGAGAGCCCCAAGGTGGGGTCGAGAGCTCTAGGCCAGCTTCAAGCCACGGGCCGCGCGACCCCCATCCTCCAGGATGGGGTCGTGAGCTTCGGGATGTGGTCATGAGCTCCACGACAATGAGGACGATCGAGGATCGACGACGACGATCGACGATCGAATAACCTGTGAGCTTACAAGAAATGGGAACAATCGCCTCAAAATCTGCTCACATATTGCCCACACCGATTGGCCACACCGACTAGCTTGGCCAAGCTGAAGCCCACCGATTGGCCACGTAGGCGCTGCCAAAAAAAGCAGGTAGCGGCGGTGGCTCGCCGTAGGCGTATTCGATAATGCGAAAGCCACGGCGAGAATGATTGTTAAGTCTTTGCGATCGTTGTACGCCGACGCACACAATCTATCACTTGCAGTAATGGTTACCTACTGCATCGCGACTGCGACGCAGAACAACGGAGCGGATCACGACTGTGACGAGCAACCACAATGACGCCCTTCCCTCCTCCGTCCTCCGACCTCCTCCCACCTCCCTCCCCCTACCGCCAACCTCCTCCTACCTTCTCCTACCTCATCCTATCTTCTCATACCCACCTCTCGTCATCCATCTTTGCCTCCCCTCCTCCCTCCATGCATCCCTCCCTCCTGCCATGCCGCCTCCCTATGCATCGCCTCCTTCCTCAACGCATCCCTCCCTTACTGGAGGTATCGAGGAGTACGGAGAAGGAGGACGAGGGAAATAAGAACGATGGCCAGGAGCACGAGGGAGGGGTGGCGTAGAGGGAGGATGAGGACCCTCCCCCCTGCCTCCCCGAGGCCACGGGTGGTGTACCAGTGGGCCACGGGTGCACCCGAGAAGCGACTTCGAGTGTACCAGGGGCACGTCACTAATCGACGTGCAAAAAATGCTGAATGTATCCGGCAAAACAGACGTCGATTAGCGAAACCGACGAAGGAGTGCACTGGTGCACTCCGAAAGCGGTGGCAGAGTGTACCGGTGAACTCCGAACCCGGTTCCGAGTGCACTGGTGCGCTCTGCCACCGGTGACGGGTGCACCAGTGGAATCGGATGTCGCCCGATGGGCCGGTGGTGCCATTGACGCCCCGAGCCTGCGGCGGTGGTGCCAAGTCCTCAAACAACCTCGACGCTCCCAAATGGGCGAAAGCCCAGTGAGAATCATAAGCACCACCGTCGGCACGACCATTGGGGCCCCAAGAGGAGCCCCGAGAGAAGCTCAAGATGGCCCCAAGAGAGCCCCAAGACGCCTCAGTGATCATGGTGCCCTCTTGGGGCCCTCTGGGGGTCCTCTCGGGACTCCCCGA